ACAGGCCGGACGGAGTTCGTTGAGTGGAGGGAATGGATGAGGTGGGGTGTGACCTGCTGGTCAGAGATGTAGGAGTGGGCAAGGCCGTGGAGGGCCTTGAAAGTGAGGACATGGATTTTGAATCCTATCCTCCGAGGGATGGGGGACAGTGGAGCGGGTGAGGGTGTGTGTGATGGGGTCACGGAGCCTGGTGCGGGAGAGGACAAAAGCTCCAGATTTCTGGATGATTTGTGTCTTGCGGAGGGAAGAGTTGGGGAGGCCGACATGGAGCGACTGCCCATAGTCGAGCCTCGAGGTGATGAATGCATGTTTGAGGGTTTTGGCAGCCTTAGGCTTGTGGCAGTGGCGGAGTCGGCCATGTTGCAGAGAAGGGGGAAGGCAGAGCGGGTCATCGAACGGATATGGTGGAGAAATGACAGTTGAGGGTCGAACAAAACACAGAGAGGACACACGGTTATAATGGTCAGTTTCACAAATAAGTTGCACAAACCTGACGGCATTTAAGAATTTGAAAACACAACGTTTCGCCCACAAAACACGCAGTCACTACACTTGACAGTGCATCCTGTGAAACGCTTTGAAACGTCGTGAATATTTGCTGAGCTGCTCTATCAAACGCAAGGATTATTATGATTAATATTATTATTATTATTATCAATAACACAAAGCTTTTCACACTGAATGACCATCTCAAACTCTTCACAACTTGTACTGTGAGACAGACCCCGTCCTGGACTATGAAAGTCCCAAAACACTTCACCTGTCAACGGGAATCCCCGAATTGGGAGGCAAACAACAACGACTTCAGATTACACTTCAATACGGTCTTTCACATCGAGAGGAAGTACCAAAGCGATGGATTTTAAGGCTTTGTACCCATGTTGGGGGTTGGAAAGATGGAAAGAAGAGCGGGTTAGAAGGTTGGGGGGTTTGGGAGGGAGACTGAAGCATGGACCAAGGGGAATGTGTGGAGGAAGCAAGCGAGAGGGCGAGGTTGGGGGTTAGAAGGTACGGGATTGGGAGGGAGACTGAACGCACAGTGAAAGAGGGAGATCTGGAGATGGGCCTTGAAGATAGCAACCGAGGGGGCGAGGTGGAGGGAGTCTGGGATGGATTTCTAAAGTGGGGCCAGAAATGGCAGTAACCCACGAGCAAGGCAATACCCCACCAGCAAGGCAATACCCCACCAGCAAGGCAATACCCCACCAGCAAGGCAATACCCCACCAGCAAGGCAATACCCCACCAGCAAGGCAATACCCCACCAGCAAGGCAATACCCCACCAGCAAGGCAATACCCCACGAGCAAGGCAATACCCCACCAGCAAGGCAATACCCCACCAGCAAGGCAATACCCCACCAGCAAGGCAATACCCCACCAGCAAGGCAATACCCCACCAGCAAGGCAATACCCCACGAGCAAGGCAATACCCCACCAGCAAGGCAATACCCCACGAGCAGTCGTGAAATGAGTAACAATATTATTATTATATCAGTAGGCAGGTCGGGAATTATTGAGTAGGCCATCGCCAGCCGAGCCGGGGAAGTAGGATCAATGGTTGATAGTAATATTAATCACAATAATAATAATAATCCTTGCATTCGACGTCGCATCTGATCACGTCTTCGAGACGTTTTACTGTGTGTTTGTGGGCGAAACGTTCTGTTGTTAAATTCTTAAATGCACTCCGGTTTGAAACCGTCTTCGTGGCACTAACCCTTCTAATCGCTTGTGATCTCGGCGGAGCTGAGGCGTTCGCTGCACTGCACTGCGCTTCGGTTGGCTCTGAGCTCTCTAAAGGGCCTGTGGTGAGAGCTGTGTCTTTGGCCCCTTTCAACTGATAGGTTTCAGCTTCACACCGAGATGAAAGGCCATTTTCTTCTGCTGTCGAGATCAACACGTGACCTTCCGATCCAGGTGTTGGCAACCACACGTTAGAGCAAACGTCTGAGAGAAACATACAGAGATGCTGTGATCTCCACAGAGTTACAAGGCGTTGTCAGTCCGGCTCAATGGGTAAAGCTCCTGACTTTGAGTCAATCGTTTGTTGGGTCAAGTCTCAAGTCAGGATTTGGAGCTCATATAGTCCAACGAGACATTCCAATGCTTACGCGAGGAGTTTGCTGCATTTGGAGGTACTTTACTTTGGAAGAGACGTTAAAGTAAGGCCCTGTTTTCCTGTTAAAGTGGACGCTAATGATCCCACTATTAGGAAAAGGGAGGGGAGGTTCTCGCGGAGTCCTGGCCAACAATCCTCCATAAAAATGGCCATTCATTTCACGGCTCTCTGGGATGTTGCTGTGTGCAACTTGGCTGTTGTGTTCCCGATTAAGTGGAGTCCCGCAGCTCAGTGATTTGAGCACTCGCCTTGCAAGCGAGAGGACCCGGGTTCGATTCCCGGTCGGGGCAAAATGTTGGGCAAGTTTCCTTACTCAATGCACCTCTGTTTACTCAGCAATAAGCACAAACCCGGTTGTTAGTCAATTCATAAATAGGTTTTCTGGGGGTTATAGTCCTTTGTTATAAAATAATGATTTGATCACCGCTGTGCACAATTGGTTGCCCAGTTTCGCCCACAATCTATGGAGGCAATTTACTTTACAGTGTATTCTGTGATGTACGATCAGACGTCTCGAAAATGCGATGAGTCGCTATATCAAATGCAAGGATTATTATTATTTATTGTAGAATAATATACACTATGCCACCTCACTTTACAGTGTAACATATGAACCACTTCGGGACATCCTCCCAACATGAAAGGCGCGATCCCAAATGCAAGAATTATTATTATTTTATAATGTGTACTCTACATAAAAAAAGAAGAGTGAAGGCGATAGACGATCAAATCTGCAGCAGATTTCAGAAAGCTGCAAAACAAAAAGAGTAGTGATATTGGGGGACATCAATTATCCTAACAGAGTCCGGTAAAAAATAATGTACAGGAGAGTGAATGAGGAGAGGCAATATACGTTAGATAGTAGAATCTTAAAGGGGGTGAAGGGTCAGAGGGACCTGGTGGTTCATATCAGTAAATGTTTGGTGGTGGCAGGACAGGGGGATAGAGCTGATAATATGCTTTATAAAGGAGGGCATAGAATACAAAATTCAGCAATTTATCATGAAACGTTATAAAGCACTGGTTAGGCCTCAGCGAGTGTTGTGTTCATTTCTGGGCACTACACGTTAGGAAGGGCGTCACGGCATTAGAGAGGGCGCAAAGTCGATTAACCAGGACGGTATCGGGAATGAGGGACTTCAGTCATCAGGAGAGTCCGGGGAAGCTGGGACTGTTCTGCTTGGAGCAGAGAAGGTTAAGAGGACATCTAATAGACGTTATTAAAATTGTGAGGGGATCGGCCGGGGTGAACAAGGAGAAACTATTCCCACGGGCGGGTGGGTCAGAAACCCGAGGACACCGATTTACAATAGCTGTTAAAGAAACAGAGGATCGGTGAGTGAGATTATTTTACACAGATGGTCGTTCGGATCTGGAATGCGTTGTCTGAAATGTTGGTGGAAGTCGATTTGATAACAGCTTTTAAGAAACAAGAAGATTTTCTTTGGGGAACACGTTTACAGGGCTGTGGGGAGAGAGCAGAGGAGTGGCATTAAATTGGAAGCTCTTTTCAAAGAGCCGGCACAGACACGATGGGCCGAGTGGCCTCCTTCTGTGCTGTATAATTCCATGATTCGATGTGGGTAAGTATTAGCAGAGCATTTTATTCAGCGAATCTTCCCCCAGTGCCTTCAGAAGATCACTGGAGAGGAGCTGATGAAATCGGCCCATGACCTGCTTTATCCCATTTCTCGCCGCTCTCCCCTATCGCCGTCTGATTGCAGATTTACAACGTTACAGCATAAAAAAAACACTCTGAGAAAGTTTGTGCTGGTGCTTTTCAGCACATGAGTCTAATCGCCCTCTCACACAATTCTGTAATGGGTTCCATTAATCCAATACCACTTTTAAATGAATCCACGTCCTCTCTCCATCAGTTCCAATGTGAAATTCCCTATTCCTACCAACGTCTGATTTCTCAACCCCCTTTAAGTTTATTTCTGAGCCTCTCAATACATTGCCGCTCTGTTCAAGAGATATGGCTTCGGTTGTGGGGTTTCCTTGTTGCCTAATTTGCTTTTTCAGATCATGTTATTTAAAGCTTTCTGTTAAATTCCTTCAGTGCTCAATGGTGCTTTTAAGCTTAAAATATTACAGGCGCGGAATGGGGAGTTGACCAACGTTTATCGGAGGTGGGTTTTTCTGGGGGTTTTGAAGTGAAAGGAAAGGGATTTGGGGAGAATTCTGGGGGACGGGGAGTTGAGATGGTCAATGGTTGAAGCCGAGGCCGGTGTTGCGGGGATGGAGTAGGTGGGAAATCTCTGTGGCCAACAATCCACCAAATACAATTGGTCATTTCTTTCCTGACTGTGGCACATTGCTGTGCAAAGTGGTCACTGCATTCTCCCACAAAATACACAGTCACTCCATTTCACAGCGAATCATGGAGCGATTTGAGACGCTCCCGCAAGGTGAGAGGCACTGCACCAAATGAGAGGATTATTATGATATATTATTATAATGAGCAGCAGTTGAGAGGCGATACTGACAGGAGTTTCAGTGCTGTCCACACCTACGCCATATTGCACCGAGTCCTCACTTCCAGAACACATGCGTCAGTTTTATACGGCCGTCTCGTTCACGATACATTTCCATTTAAGGCAACATTCAGATACTTGGTTTTCATAGACGAGATGAAAGAACCTACAAGTCATTTTGGCTATAAATGGTAATCTCACATTTCATTGGCTGATTCCATCGGACTGAACGGCGGATCTGATACATGTGCCAAACCTCTGGGGAACTGGAGTGAAAGGGGTGGTTTCTGAGTGACTTGTTGTGAATTCTGGCCTCTGGTCGGATCGGGGATATTACACAGTGTTGGAGTGCAGTCAGCGCTGGGTCAGGGCAACACGTGGCCACAGACGAGACTTGGGACAATGCTGTGGCCACTAATCGTTGGCTTTCTGCTCCAGAATTGGAAATGTAAGTTCACATTTACTGCCACTTTTGTTCTTTACCAATACCATGGGCTCTGGACAACACGTAGCTGATTAATCAGGTCTAATGCTTATCACTGGGACCACTCTGGTCGCTCGACAAGCAAATTCTCTTCATTATTCGGGTGAAATTTACCCAATTTACATTCACATCAAATCTGTTGTAGAACCTCAGCAACATAGACATTTACAGGACAGAAGTGACCATTTGGCTCACTGTGTCCACGCCAATTCTATCCAAGAGCAATCCTGTCAGTCCCGTTTGCCGGCCTTTCCCGTTATCCCTTGAATTTACTCCTTTTTAGATCTCTTCATAAGAAACCTATAATAATAATAATAATCCTTGCATTTGATATAGCGCTTTTCACATCTTCTACACATCGCAAAGTGCTTCACAGAATATGCTGTATTGTGGATTGACTGTATATTTCTATATTTGTGGGCGAAACGCGGCAGCCAATTGCGCACAGCAGTGTCCCACAAACAGCCGTGGATTGAAAAACCTGGAACTTTAGAAATTCTGGAGGAATAAAAGACCGAGGTCCATATAGATCGCCATCCACCTTCCTGGTGGTCACATGCTCATATATCCCAAAATACTTATTTAATACTTTCCATGATGTTGTTCCCTAAAATCAACATTTCTTGCCTCAACGTCTCCCTTGGGAGCCTTTTCCATAGGTTTACCGTTCGCTCACTGAAATAGTGTTTCCATTAATTCTTTCCGAATTGACCCCCTTCAACCGAAGGCTGTGTTGTCTGGTCTCACTATCCTGGACCAGTTGCAACAGCTTGTCATGGTCTACATTGTGTAGACCCTTTAGCATCTTAAAGCCAACAATCCCATCGCCTCTCAATCTACTCTTTTCCTCTGTGAAGAAACCAAAGTTACTGAGTGGCTCCTCATGGTCCAGTCCCTCCATTCCCTCAGTGACTCTGGTCGCCCTCCTCTGTATCGTCTCCATTTCTCCCATTTCGTTCTTGAACAGCGGTGACCAGAGCTGCGCACAGGACTCCACTTTGTTCCTTATTGAGAGCCAATATGGATTCAGTCAAAACTGGCATTACCGACAGGACATTTCACACCCTAACCACTCTGTGCATGAATAACTTTCTCCTGATCTCCCCGGGTGTTTGTTTGCCAATTATCTTAAACCATTGCCCACTGGTCACTGAATCACTGACCATTTGCCAGTCAGTAGGAGGCCACTCAGCCCATTGCCCAGGACCCAGGAGAGCTGTAGGTCATTGGTTAAAGTACAAGAGGACTTGGGTTTGATTCCTGTCGGGGAAATGTTGGGCAAGTTTCCTTACTCCTCACGCCTCTGCTTACCTGGCGATAAGGCGGAATACGGTCTTTAGTCGATTGGTCGGTCGCTTTTTCGGGGATAATAAATTCTTTTAAAAAAGAACAATAATAATTTGATCACTCAATCCAGGACTGTGTGTGGGACACTGCTGTGTGCAATTGGCTGAGGCGTCTTTCCCACTAAGAAACAGTCAATTCGCTTTACGGTATATTCTGTGAAGCGCTTTGAGACGTCCAGAAGATATGAAAAGCGCTGTAAGAAATGCAAGGATTATTGTTGTGTCAGTGACAACTCCCTCGGAGTCGGGAGGGGAGAAATGTTGGGCAAATTTGCTCACTCCACACACACCCACGTCTCTGTTTACCAAGAAGTCGGTAAAAACCTATTTAGGCAAATCACCTCCATTGATACATCGAATATAATAATCAACTCCTCACCCTTTATATCTGAAATATCATCAACTAATCACCAGTGATATCTAAATTTTAATCTTAAATCATTGATAGGTATAATCATCAACTCATCGCAATTGATGTAATAATAATCCTTGGATTTGATAATAATAATCCTTACATTTGATAATAATAATCCTTACATTTGATAATAATAATCCTTGGATTTGTTGTAGCGCTTTTCACATCTTATCGACGTCTCAAAGCGCTTCACAGAATAGACTGTAAAGTGAATTGACTGTATATTTGTGGGCGAACGCGGCAGCCAATTGCGCACAGCAATGTCCCACAAACAGTCGTGGGTTGAAAATGACCAATTTATTATTGTTTGTCTTGGAGGGATTATTATTAGGGCTGTGTGTGGAGTAAGGAAACTTGCCCGCGGTTTCCCTCGGCCGGGAATTGAACCCGGGTGTCTCGCTTGCGAGGCGAGTGCTCTAACCCCTGAGCTACAGGAATCCTTGTTCCATTTATACTTCATGGAAGTCCCTCCTGCGTCTGAGCACTACTCTCAGGCGCTTCACAAACCTCAGTATTCTCATGAAAACAGCTCCAGTTTCTCTCGTCTCTTCATCACCAGTGAAACGGAGATGAGATTTCTCTGCAAAGTATTTTCATTCCTTTCAGTTTACAATTACTGTATTTTTAAAATGTTCCATTCGTCAATGAGAGAATGATGTCGCGTATATTTATAAAATGTGTTTATCGAATGCTGGATTTAGTTAATTACACACGATCCCACATTTCAAATTCATTTAATTTACAATGCAAAAGATTTAATTAACCTCTAACGTCGAAGGAGTGACACTTAAACTTTACTCTTATTAATTTATTTGATGGGGGAAATTTGCAAAATTCCTTAACAGATTTGACGTGATATTCGTGGCATTTTCTACCCCGAACAATTTTCACATTACATTTGTAATGCATTATCACAAATTGTCTTTGCAGATATTTCCCCAATTGGGGCCATCAATCAGTTTATTGCTGACCGATGGCCCAATTTAGGGCAGAGTGAGGATTCTCACTGTTTACACATCATATTTCACATGAACACCGACCGGGAACCCACTGACACTTATAACTTAGGTATAACTTAAAGCGGTTATAATAAACCCCACTGAAATATTCACCGTATAATCAACAAACGGCCAGTCACATATTAGCAAATTAATCGTTCCCAGTTTTAAACAGTAACTGTACAAGAACCAAAATTCATTTGGAAGATGTTTTTAAACTAAAGCGTCTTGGAATAAAGGCCACAGTGTAAGTTTAGGTTTATCCGTGTTTGTGTTATCCGGTTCCTCGGGTTCGCTGTGAGGGCCACAATCAAAGACTGTGAACACGTTCATGTAAAAACCCATTTAAACAATAAAATGAATTGTGACATTTATATCAGTGAATCCCAGACCGATCCATTCGGCCCATCGAGCCGGGGCTGGTATTGCTCTGTCCATGGGGAACCTCGTCCTTTCCCACTGTTCCTCTCACTCTCCGTCCCTGCAATATTCCTACTCTTCAGTGAAAAGAACTGCAATGGAAACGTTCTCCTGATCTCCCCAGAGGTGTGTTTGCCAGTTATCTTCAATCAGTGCCCCCGGTCACGGAATCACTGTCCATTTGACGGTCAGTAGGAGGCCGGTCGGCCCATTGGGTGTGTGTCAGTGCTCTCGAAGCCGCGTAGGTCGAAATCTTGGGCAAGTTTCCTTACTCTACACACCACTGTTTACCGAGCAGTCAGTGGGAACCCCAAACACTGACCCTCCAGCACCGTGGGACGTCCTCCCGACGTGAAAGGTGCTCCACAAATGTAATTGTGTTGGGTTGTGGTTGTTGTCGGGCGATTGGCTTCCCGGGGCAGTAACGTCTCAAAAAATAAACCGATCAATAAACAGTGTCGCCGCGCAATCCACGATGTTTTGTGAGACACCACTACGTGCAATTCGCTGCCGCATTTTGCCCACAAAATATACAGTCAATTCACTTCACAGTATATCCTGTGAAGCGCTACGAGATCCTCAAACACGTGATAATCAGTATATCAAAGGCAATGATCATTATTATTATTTGCCTCAACTCATCGGCCTTCCCTCCCACAGTCCTTCCGATGTTTTAACGTATTTATTTCATGTCGTTGTCAGAGTGTTTGTGGATTGTTTTACAGCCACTGCTTTTGCTGACACTCTGTGCACTGGTGACACGGAATGTAAAATGATCTCTGACGTTGTGTTTCGGTGCTGCTCCAGAAACGGATTCACCGTCAGCGGAAACGCTGTTTGTATTCGAGGGGGAAACTGTCAAATATTCATACCAACACACATACACAAATACATACACACACGTACATCCACACACACACACATACACAAACAAAAACACACACACGTGTACACACACACACACATACGTGCACACAAATCCTTTCATAATTCCCCTTTCCAGACAGTTCCCCAATTCCCCGTTTGAAGTTGAATCGATGCGTTTCATTACAAGTTCTCAAAGAGGACGAACACTGCGGAGAAGGAGAGTGAGAGGAACAGTGGGATAAGGCTGTGCTCCTCATGTCCAGAGGAATACAGCCGCGGCCGATGGCCGAACGGATCACTCTGGGATTCACTGATAGAAATGTCACACTTGTTTTAAGGGTTTACAGGTTTTTTTACATCAATGCTTTCTCCCTCTTTGATCCGAGTCCCAATAGAAAGCGGAGTGAACTGGTAAAGCAAACACAGAAATAGAATTAAACTGAAACTGCGGCCTTTATTCCAATCACTGTATTTTATATCCATCTTCCGAATTAAAACGGCAGTTTTTCCTCAATTCAGGAAACGATTTGCTACAGTCCATTTACAGACCATAACCGACACAGACTTTACACTTTACACTTTACAGTACATCATATGAAGCACTTTGAGGCATCTCAGCCATGTGATAAGGCACTGTGTGAACTGTAAGGGTTATTGTTATTATTATTGTTAAACGGCTATGAATTGCTGATTATGACCAGAAATTATTTTACTTTTACATTTTAGATATAAATGGCAATAAGTTGATGATGATTTAGAGATAAACGACGATTAGTTGATGATATTTTAGATATAAACGGTGATTAATTGATGATATTTTAGATATAAACGGCGATTAGTTGATGATAATTTAGAGATAAACGGCGATTAGTTGATGATATTTGAGATATAAAGGGTGAGGAGTTGTTTATTATATGAACGGCTTTTGGGCAAATGTGTCTGTGGTTTCCCCATTTCAGACGTCACTGGGGCTCAGTCTGACTGTAACTGCTCACGGCTTCACTGTGTGTGTGTGACTGTCTGTATTCCTGTATCTGTGTGTGTGTGTGGGGGTGGGGGGGTTGTGTGTGTGTGGGGGGGTGTGTGTGTGTGGGGGGGTTGTGTGTGTGTGGGGGGGTTGGTTTGTGTGTATGTGGGGGTGTGTGTGTGTGGGGGGGGGGTTGTGTGTGTGTGTATTGGGGGGGGTGTTTTGTGTTGTGTGGGGGGTTGTGTGGTGTGGTGAGGGGTGTTGTTGTGTATGTGTGTGTGGGGGGGTTGTGTGTGTGTATGGGGGGGGGTTGTGTGTGTGTGAGGGGTGGGGGTTGTATGTATGTGTATGTATGGGGGTGGGGGTTGTATGTGTGTGGGGGGGGGGGTGGGGGGGTGTGTGTGTGTGTTGTTTGTGTGTGTGTGTGAGAGACTAAGCGTGTTTGTGTGTGTGCTGGAGGCGTGTCTCACTGTGTGGGATGGTGTACGGTGTGTTAGTGACTGAGTGTTCGTGTGTATTTACGTGTGTTTATATGTTTGCGTGTGAGAGACACAAAGCTGGTTTGCGTGACTGCCTGTGTGTGTGTCTCACTGTGTGGGTGTGTGTCTGTGTGCGTGTTTGTGTGTATCTGTGTGTGTGTGACTGTGTTAGGGTTAGGGTTGAGTGTCTGTGTGTGTGTCTCACTGTGTGGGTGTGTGTCTGTGTGCGTGTTTGTGTGTATGTGTGTGTGTGTGTGACTGTGTTAGGGTTAGGGTTGAGTGTTTGTGTGTGTGTCTCACTGTGTGGGTGTGTGTCTGTGTGCGTGTTTGTGTGTATGTGTGTGTGTGTGACTGTGTTAGGGTTAGGGTTGAGTGGTTGTGTGTGTGTCTCACTGTGTGGGTGTGTGTCTGTGTGCGTGTTTGTGTGTATGTGTGTGTGTGACTGTGTTAGGGTTAGGGTTGAGTGGTTGTGTGTGTGTCTCACTGTGTGGGTGTGTGTCTGTGTGCGTGTCTGTGTATCTGTGTGTGTGTGTGACTGTGTTAGGGTTAGGGTTGAGTGGTTGTGTGTGTGTCTCACTGTGTGGGTGTGTGTCTGTGTGCGTGTTTGTGTGTATCTGTGTGTGTGACTGTGTTAGGGTTAGGGTTGAGTGGTTGCGTGTGGTTGAGCACACGCGTGTGTGTGTGTGTCCGTCTCCGCTCACAACACGTCTCTGCATAACATTCCTAAATAGTCTGTCATTCGGGTCAGACCTTGAACCGAGATCTCAATGGTTCGGTGGATGTTAAAGATCCACAAAGTTATTGGCAAAGAGAAGAGAGTTTCTCTGTGTCCGACCCTCAATCTCCAGATTCATTGCTCATCACAGTTTAGCCTTTCCTTCAGCCGCACACACCCCGGTCTCCCCGTCACCCCCACACCCCTCTCTACCCCTCCTCCCCACCCACAGCCGTCTCCCCGTCACCCCCACACCCTCTCTACCCTCCTCCCACCCACAGCCGTCTCCCCGTCACCCCCACACCCCTCTCTACCCCTCCTCCCCACCCACAGCCGTCTCCCGTCACCCCCACACCCCTCTCTACCCCTCCTCCCCACCCACAGCCGTCTCCCCGTCACCCCCACACCCCTCTCTACCCCTCCTCCCACCCACAGCCGTCTCCCCGTCACCCCCACACCCCTCTCTACCCCTCCTCCCACAAACACACTCTCCCCTTCCTCCCCCACACTCTCCCCTTCCTCCCCCCACACACTCTCCCCTTCCTCCCACACACTCTCTCCTCCCCACACACTCTCCCCTTCCTCCCCACACACACTCTCCCCTTCCTCCCCACACACACTCTCCCCTTCCTCCCCACACACTCTCCCTTCCTCCCCACACACTCTCTCCCCTTCCTCCCCACACACTCTCCCCTTCCTCCCCACACACTCTCTCCCCTTCCTCCCCACACACTCTCTTCCCTTCCTCCCGACACACTCTCTCCCTTCCTCCCCACACACTCTCTTCCTTCCTCCCCACACACTCTCCCCTTCCTCCCACACTCTCTCCCCTTCCTCCCCCACACACTCTCTCCCTTCCTCCCACACACTCTCTCCCCTTCCTCCCACACACTCTCTCCCTTCCTCCCCACACACACTCTCCCCTTCCTCCCCACACACTCTCCCCTTCTCCCACACACTTCTCCCTTCCTCCCCACACGCACTCTCCCCTTCCTCCCCACATCTCTCCCCTTCCTCCACACTCTCTCCCCTTCCTCCCCACACTCTCTCCCCTTCCTCCCCACACTCTCTCCCCTTCCTCCCCACACTCTCTCCCCTTCCTCCCCACACACTCTCCCCTTCCTCCCCACACACACTCTCCCCTTCAGACTTGGATATTTCTGAGACTCTGTTTATTGACCCCTTGTTTTCTGGTTTAGGTGGTTATGTGGACTGTGGGGCTCCCGCGGGAGGTGAGTCACTCTCTATTTGCATCCGTTGTATGATTCCTTCACCGTCTTACAACAACAACAACAACAACTTGCACTCTCAGACGCTATCCTGTGTGGAGGGCACTATATGAGAGCGCTTAACAGTGGTGGAGCTCGACTCCGAGTTGGGGGAAGGGGGAGGAGGCCGTCAGTCCGATCGAAGGGGATAGTTTTCAGGCGGTACTTGAAAGAGAGGAGAGAGGGGGCAAAGCGGAGGGTTTGAGGGAGAGTATTCCAGAGTTTGGGGGCGTAGTGGCTGAAAGCACGACCGCTGATGGCGGGGCGGAGGGTTGCGAGGTACAAGCAGGAGCCGGTGCCAGTTGAGCGGAGGCGCGGGTGACGGATTGGGGAGTAAGGAGCTCGGAGACGTAGGGAGGGGCCGGGGAGTGAATGGATTTGAACACGAGTGTGAGGACCTCGAAGTCAATCGATTTGGTAATTGGCCAACGGAGCCCGGCCAGAACTGGTGAGATGTTGGTGTGGAGTTTGGTCCGGGTCAGTGTACAGGCGGCAGAGTTTTCAATGAGCTGGACCTTGTGAATGGTGTAGTGGGGAGACCGGCGAGGAGAGCGTTGGGTTAATCCAAACAGGAGGTGACCGACGCATACGCGATGGCTTTGGCTGCATTTGGGGTAAAGTGCGATGGGTTGCGGGCAATTTGGTGGAGGCGGAAGAAAGCATTCCTGGAGAGAGACCGGATGTGGGGAGGAAGGACAGCTGGGGGTTGAATCGGATGCCAAGATTGCACACTGGGCTCCGTGGAGTCCAATACCTGTGGTTGGATCACTGGCCTCACAAGCGCGAGCGATACGCTCCCTCCTCTCAGCGGAAACGGCCGACTTCAGGTCCTCGCACCTCCCGCTCCACCATTGGTGGTTGGGCATTGAACATCTCTGCCCCCACATTCTGGAACTGTATCACGCAATCCCCCCACTTCATCCCCTCTCTTGCCTCCTTCAAGAACTATCTAAATAACGTTCTCTTCGACCGAGCCTTCGGCCATCCTCCCGTCTCCACCCCTCTTGCACTGCCCCCGTCCTGACCCCAGCGCTCAAATCGAGTCCAAATTCTCTGACTTGGACATCTTTCTGAAGCGACTGCAAAACAAGTGTAAGTTGTTGTTATCGTGTGTGCATCGTGTCCCATTGACTGAAGGCCTGTGGATTGGCCTCAATCGGGAACTGAACCGAGTCCACCGCAGAGCGTTGGCTTTGATTCCCGTATTCCGTGGCCAGTCTCGTCACCCGGGAGCGGCTGATGGGGACGGTTCGCTTTGCTGCTGGAAGTTTGATGCACCGCAGTCTCTTACTGCGGTTTCTGATGTGTTACAGAGAGCGTGAAGTTGAGGCTGGTGAACGGAGGCAGCCGGTGTGCTGGGAGAGTGGAGGTTCACTTCCGAGGAATATGGGGCGCAGTGGGAAATCCGTCATGGGATCTGCCGGATGCTGCGGTTGTTTGCCGGGAGTTGGGCTGTGGAGCTGCCGTGTCAGCACCAGGAAACGCATTGTTTGGGGAAGGATCGGGACCACATATAACGGCCTATATTAACTGCAGAGGGATGGAGACTGCTCTGAGTAACTGTTCCTCATATCCATGGAACCACCATAAAGGATACCCACACACTCGGGACGCTGGTGTCATCTGCACAGGTGAAAACCACGTCTCGTAATCTTTGAAAAATTGACCAACCAACAAACTCTGGTAACGGTACATCACAGAATGCATTGGTCTGTTATTATAAATTCAGAAGATCAAAACATTGGGTCCAGATAATAATAATAATAATAATAATTCTTGCATTTGATATAGCGCTTTTCACGTCGGGAGGACGTCCCAAAGCGCTTCACAGAACACACTGTAAAGTGAATTGACTGTATATTTGTGGGCGAACGCGGCGGCCAATTGCGCACAGCAATGTCCCACAAACAGTCGTAGATTGAAAATGACCAATTTATTATTGTTTTGGGTTTTGGAGGGATTATTATTTGGCTCTGTGTGGAGTAAGGAAACTTGGCCAAGGTTTTGCCCTCTGCCTGGACTTGAACTCAGGTCTCTCGCTTGCAAAGCGAGTGCTCTAACCACTGAGCTACAGGACTAGATCTAGAAAGACATTTGCCCATACAGTCTCCACCCTCCAGAACCTCACCCCAATCACTGCTGCTTTTTAAATCAGTCTCTGGCAAACTGTTCCAGTGATTACCGTTTGGTAAAGAATCATCTCCGAGTATCTGTCCTGAAATTGCCCTTTACGACTCTCACTGTATGTCTTCTTGTACTCGATAAAAATAATTAAAACACCAACAACAAACAAACAATACACTGCCACATATGTTGGGAGGAGCTCTCAAGGTGTTGCACAGTGAATGGTTTAATGGTTTGCACGTAACTGGGGATTGTATTTGATAGGGAGTGGATACAAGAGTTTCTCCCCCAAAATACAGTCAATCCACTTCACCATATATTTTACGAAGCGCTTAGAGACATCTCCAGGACACGATCAATCCCAACAACACAAGTTTCAAATTAAGGAGAGATGACTGAAAATGATTGGCATTGGTTGTGTGTTGCAGACATGACAGGTGATAAAAAGCCCAGACTGGTGAACGGATTCAGCCGGTGTTCGGGGAGAGTGGAGCTGCACTCTGGTGGTCAATGGCACACGGTGTGCGGAGCCGCCTGGAACATGGACACGGCTGGAATTATCTGCAAAGAGTTGGGCTGTGGATT